CCCACGGCGCACACCCATCGGCCCCGTGCCCCCCTTCCTCCCCCCCCCCCCCCCCCCCCCCCCCCCCCCCCCCCCCCCCCCCCCCCCCCCCCCCCCCCCCCCCCCCCCCCCCCCCCCCCCCGACTTCGTTTTCCCCCCCGACTTCGTCTTCCCCCTCCGACTCAATCCCCACCCCCACCCTGATCCCAATACACCCCCTTTCCGCCCGGCGCTTTCCTCTTCCTCCCAACCCTGCTGACCCACAGGTTGTCATGTTGGGCTTCCGCTTTGTTGGCTGGGAAGTCGGGGGAATTCTCTTGTGACCCAGCAGCCTCCCCAGTTTGCTTCTGACACTTGTACATGGTCATCGGTGCATGCTGCTGCTGCTGCTGCTCCTCGCCGTTCTCCATCTTTTCCTGTTGATGCTCCTTCTCGCTCTCTTCCAGCTCCTCTTCTTGCTGTTTCGTGCCCTCCCCTTCCTCCTTTTCCGTCTCCTCTCGCTGCTCCATATCAGCGTCTTCTTCGTCCTCCTCTTGCTCCTCCATCTTATCTTCTTCCTGCGCTGGCTGGCCCATCTCGTGTTCTGCCTCCTCCTCTTGCTGGCCCATCACCTCTTCTTTCTCCTCCTCTAGCTGGCCCATAGCCCCCACTGGCTCCGATTCTCGCTCTCCAACCTTCTTCTTTAGTTTCTTCAATTCCCTGCGGGTTGGTATGGCTGCGCGTCGCTCCTCCTCCTCCCTCATTCTCCTTTGCACCCGTTCTTGATCCGCATCAGCCCATGCCTTTGCACGGTTGGCCGCCTCCTCATCTGTATTGATTGGACTGGGGCGAAGCACCATCTCCATGCTGGCGTCGGTCTGTGGTAGCTTGATGCGCTGTGGTATTCGCTGTGCATTGAGATGGTGTTGTGGGTTGGCCGTTCTCGCCGACGCTGTGCTGCTTCTCTCCTCTCAACATATGTGGTGCATGGGATTGATGTGTGCAATCAGACTCGACTTATTCACACTTTTCATGCACGTGAACAGCAGCACAACCAACTGGCGACATGCGCCCACATAGTACTCAGAGATATGGCTTCCAAGTAAGTTGACTTCCACTGGCTATGGCGCCTGAGCGCCCAACATCCCACTGTTCACACACTCTGGATCACCCTGGATATCCCACACACGACACTCTGCACACTCACACAACACACGCACACTACTATAGCTATGGCAGCACTAGCTGCCTCTACCCTATTGCTATACTATGCTTCTCTGCCCACTTCGACTTCGGGCACACTGCAGACCTCCTCGGACAAGACGCTGAGGCAGCGCGTCCGCATGGCCTCCGCAGGAATGAATGAATGGTTGGGCGCAGCCTCTTGATTTATACTTCTGTGACTCGCTGGTCTGCCCTGTTTCCCTGGCCCACGGTGCGCACAGTCCCAGACGGTACTTGCTTGACTGGACCGGACTGGCTGGACTGGGACTGCTGACTTTGCGTGGTGGACTTCCACCACTTGCCCACTTGCCTAGACCTACAGTGGGCTGACTTCCAAAAGGCCACTTCTAGAAACCTCTACCTGGCCTTTCGGTACTGTAGCAGCTACGACTCTACTCTTTCAGGTAAGTAGCAGCTACGACTTTGACCCTTCGGACAGTCTACAGCTACGACCTCTGGACTGTCTAGACTCCTACCCGACAGGTCTACAGTTCGAATCCCCTATACCCTGTAACCTACGAGATCCTACCTACCACTGGCGATCCTACAGGTCGCAGGTTCAAATCTACGGGTTAACACAGGTACTGTACACAGGTAAGGTGGGGAACTAGGGATCGAGCCCTGGGATCTGCGTCAGCTACTACGAACTGGTGAATACCGTTCCACGTGGGATTCCCAAGTCAAAGTCATCGTCTGATGACTCATCAACCTCCACTTCGCTAGACGCTTCCGACCATGGAGTCTTCCCCTTCCACACCTCGTCGTCAGGGTCGCTGTCGTGGGTGCACTCCTCCTCCTCCTCCTCCTCGTTTTAGCGGCTCTTCGGAATCCGGCCCTTTGGTGTCTTGATGAAGGCCCATTCCTGCACCAGCTCCTCCTCCGTCTTGTCCTTCTCCTCCATGGGGTCCTTCAAAATAGAACCATCGTCCACCTCCGGCTCCGGAAGAGGCTCGAAGAACTGCACTCACAAGTCGATGTAGTCGTGGTCCTTCAAGTTCTTCCTGGACCGCAGCAGCTGCATTTTCCAATGAATATACACCAACTTCTCCAAGGTTGAGGGGTTCAACCGATTCCGCCACTTCGAGTGGACCAAGTCCATCGAAGACCAATTCCTCTTCGCTGGAGTCGCTGTACTCCACATGCCCATTACTTTAATGGCAATGGAATGCAGCTTCGACACATCGTCGCCATGAGTTGCCCACCACTCCGGCGGCGAGATGCGGCCACAATCCGCGACCGCATCATCATCCCACATTTTCAAGTCCTTGCGCCAGGGGTCGTACGCGGTGGGTTTCTTGTGGAACTCTTGCAGGTCGTATAGAATCTCCACGTGGGCCTCCGATTTCCAAGGACCGCTGATCTGCCGCTGCAAACAATGCAACGTATTTTGCACAAGTGCGCTGCCCCGGTCCAACAACCACTTCAACTCTCTCTTGCGTAGGTCGAGAAGAAGAGCCAAGGCGTGTACCGGTTGCCGCATCATCTTCATGCGGTCCCTCACCTTCTCGAGTACCCTACCTCGCTGCTACGCTGCCTACGAGGTCAGCACAACCTCCGCCAACATCCTCTCCATTAGCCGTTCGTACTCCCATTCGCCGTTCGTACTCCACAAGGTTTGACGGGGCAGTCCCGTCCTTGTCCATCCTCCGAAGCAAGCCATACAATGGCTCATCACCTCCACCACCTTCTTCACCTCCGTCCACCAACCCTCCCTCCGCACTGTAAAGAAGACAACATCTGCTTTGGACTGCAACTTGGTTGTCGACCACCGTATCGCCTTCCATCTCCCGACAAGACTCCCTTCAACCATTTGCGTCAAAACCACCCTACGATTGTACAACCGCTCCATCATCATGTAGACCGACCCAAAACGGACCTCGGTCGGTCGCAACAACGATAATGAGTCGTCCAACGACATCATTAGGCTATGTGCGCAGTGGTGGTTCCGTATAAACTTGACAATGGTGTGGCTCCACTTCACCGTGCCCTTGATCCAATCCAACTTGCTGAAGTCTCGTAGCAGCAAGCTGCAGCAATGCGCAGCACACGAAACCCAAGGTATCTGTGAAACCGCCAAGTCCGTGCGCCGCTCCAAAACCTGTGCGGCCTTCTTGTTCACCTCCGCATTGTCAGAGCAAATTGCATTGATGCGATGCGGCCCGACCTCCCTCATTATCTTCTCCCAAAGTCTGGCCAGCGCCAGTCCAGTCCTCTTCTTTCCGTTCATCGAAACCGTCGCCACTAGGATCGCTCCCTGCTCCCCCGCCGCCAAGAAATTCATGACAGGCCTTTTCCTCCAATCACTCGTCTCGTCCGTGATAAAAGTGCAGCCTGTGACATCCCAGCATGCAGTCAGAGGCTGCACTTGCTTTTGAATGCGCAAAAAGATAAAGTCGAACATCACCGTCTGCATGTACTTCGTAGAGGGCAATTTCACCTTCGGTAGTGCATTAGCAACCTCCAAGGACACCTGATGCAATTTGAGAGTGGTGTCGAAGTTCAAAAATTTGAATGCAATTCCTGCCCGGAACATTGCCTCCGCCCATGCAATGTCCAACTTCTTTTGAGCTGCGTTGTCCACCCATCTCGTGATGGTCGTTTGCTGCAGCGGAGCCACCCTTGTGCTGGAATCACACTCTTCTTGCAGCGCCTCCCCCACTACAGTTTCCTTTCCCGGCTGCGCCATCTCCTCGACTGGCTCCCTCCCAGCGGTTGAGGCTCCTCGTAACCACGACGAACAACAGCGTCCGCATCATCGTCGTTTGCTGCAGCCCCCCCCTCCGACATGTTGTGCGGCTGCCGATAATTCTGCAATAGGTAGCGAGTCTTCTTGTCGCTTGGCAGCACCTTCGCCCCTTGGGCCACCACCTTATGCACAATCTCCCTTGTCCGATAAGGGAACGACTTGAGCATCTTCATGAAGTGCTCAACTACTCGTGTGCTTGTGCCCCTCCAAATGGTCGAGCATAGCCAACACCTCAGCCAATCCTCTCCTCGACCCTTTGGCACAACCTCCTGCCCTTGTTCCACGTGCTTCCATATCTCCTTCTCACCCTGCAGCTTCTTTTGCTTCTCTTCAGGTTGTGGGACGAACAACAAGGGGTCGGTAGCCGGTGTGGGGTCCTTAGAAGTCACCCCCGACGAAGGTGTACTTGAACTGGCGATGTCCTTCCCGCTGCCCTCTCCTCTTTCCGGCTGCCACCGACTTCCTTGTCCACCAATCGGAACGTGCTTCCATATCTCCTTCTCGCCCTGCAACTTCTTTCGCTTCTCTTCAGGTTGTGGGACGAACAGCAAGGGGTCGATAGCCGGTGTGGGGTCTTTAGAAGTCACCCCCGACGAAGGTGTACTTGAACTGGCGATGTCCTTCCCGCTGCCCTCTCCTCTTTCTGGCTGCCTCTGACTTCCTTGTCCACCAATCACACCCCCTGCCCTGCTCCCACCAGCCATCGTGCTGCAACCACCTCCTCCCTGCAACTTCGATTCTCGCCCTGCAGCTTAACAACATTCAAGAAGAAGAAGAAGAAGAAGAAGAAGAAGAAGAAGAAGAAGAACCAGACGAAGAAGAAGAAGAAGAAGAAGGATTGATGAATGGATGCATGGAGGGAGGGAGGGAGGGATGGCGAGATGGGAGGATGGATGGATGAAGGGAGACTTCTAAACACCGTCCAAGAAGAATGAGAAGAAGAAGATGATGGATGGATGGATGGAGCGAGGTGGAGAGGGATGGCGAGATGGTAGAATGGAGGGATGGAAGAAGGCTGCTAACCATGTTGAAGAAGAACTAGAAGAAGAAGAAGAAGATGGATGGATGGATGGATGGAGCAGGGGAGGGATGGCGAGATGGGAGGATGGAGGGAGACTGCTTAACAACGCCCAAGAAGAAGAAGAAGAAGAAGAAGAAGAAGAAGAAAGAAGAAGA